TTTCGCAGACCTTGCTTGCCCAAGTTCGTTGTGGGCAGTTAGGAACTGCATGATCAGATTGGGAGAAACTAATTGTCCAAACCAATCCCAAAAAATATGGGTTTCTCCCTGAGATTCCATATGCCAGAAGCCATGTTTGCAAGCCGATCACATCTCAGATCGGTGGAATTACTCTGGCAATCCCCTCGCTTGGTTGAGGTTAAATGGCTCCAGCATTGGGTGATGCGGATTTGTCGGCTGATCCTGGTTTAAACATCTAGTTTTGACTAGCTTGCGCCTGCGCGGCTGTCAAAATGAGACCTGTCTTGTTGTTGGGGAGGGTTTTTCAGGCCCCTGCAAGGCTTCGCTATGTTTCGGTCCAGTTTTGTCTTAGAACATGTTTTTTACCAGTGCCACACAATGGCATGGCTGTCAATAGCTGGTCGATCTAGTCATATGTCCCAGCACCCATGGCGCCCGCTGCACATCTGGGAGCTCTTACATGCACAGCTGCACTAGCAATCACGGGGGCTGGCGGGGAGGGTTATTTAGGGCATATTTGGGCTCCTCCCGAGCCCCCATGAAATCACGTTCATTTCGCACCAGCATTTTTCAAGGGTTGGCAAAATGCCTCCGGTGACCCACTCAGGGAACCGAATGGGACGCATTTGACCTTGGAAGGTGGTACAGTTGTGTGTGGCATCCGCATCGTGGTTCTCAGTTCAACGCGAATCGACAACCACCTTCTGGTGCATTAGTCCTGGCAACAGGTTAACCTTATGTTTCCAGATCCTTTAAAGGGCAAGTTGGAAAACTTCCTTCTTGGTCCATTAGTCATGGCCCCAAAGGGTGAACCTTATGTTTCCAGATCCTTTGGGCAAGTCCTTTGGGAAGACTTCCTTCTTGGTCCATGTCTAGTGGCCCAAGGTCATCACCTATTCTCCAGGTCCCTAAGGGGCCAGTGAGCCAACTCTTGGTCCGCACGGCCGAGGAGAGGGACATGGGTGGCATCACTACGAAGCGCATGGACTGTCAGGCAGGTTGAACATGAAGGTCGAGAACTGATTTGGGGTAAAAACAAAAATAGGGTTTAAACAACATAGGAGCCCCAATGTTTTGTCTCTGCGTCTGTGTTTGTGTGTGAGGGTATCCTTTCAGTTGTTTTGGTGTCTTCAAGGGGATCCAGAAACACACACACACACATGGCTTAACGTTTAAATTGTTCGAAGAACTTCCCTTTGGTTCCTCCTTGGGGCCTTCTGCTTTAATCCAAGTTTGGCCTTTTGATTACTTTATGGGGCCGCAGACATGACAGGTTTGGGTCCAAAGAGCCGGGTTTCCTCGGAATGTTTCAAGTCTTGGACGTCAGGGCGTGTGGCCTAGCGGCACCACCTACTGCGAGTTCGACAACGTGAAGGTCCCGGTGAAGAAGCGCGGCGGAGATTCCAATCCTTTTTCTTGCTGGGGCGGTCCTACTTTCCGAGTGCGGGTGTTGGGTGGGAATGAACCCCCGGAGTCCGGGTGTTGGGTGATGCGCAGTTTTGCTCGTTGTTGGGTGTTGGGAGTGCTGCTAGTTTATTAATAGGGGGTGTTCCCCTCCAAAGTGGTTTGATTCCCGACTAAACCCAGGGACACCCTCTGGGGTTGTTGCATATATGGAGTCAACATAAAGTAGGGAATGACTTGCCGAGTCCGGGTGGTGGGTGGGAATGAACCGGTTTGGGGAGTCCCAAACAAAGAAAACCATAAGGGATGGTTTATGGGGGTCATTCCCTCTTTCCCTGCTGAGAACCAGCAAGTGTTTGTCCATGGGTGGTTGCCTGTTTCAAAGCGAAGCAGCTTGAGGGGTATAGCGAGCTCACCACGATAAAGCTCCTTTGCTGGGGGATTCCTCAAGTTGTTTGTTTCGGGGAAGAATAACACTGAGCCTGCGGCAGACGGCTCAAAATGAGCGCGCGTTTGGGTTGTTTGTTTCGGGGGAATTGGTGTTGCCCATAGCTGTGGATGGATGGCAATGGTTGCGAAATCCGTTCGCACCAAGAAATGAAACCCTGCGTGCAATCACAACGTTTGTCGGTATTTACGTTGGGTAATCGAATCATTCCAGGGTTTCTTAGTAGCTTAGGTGGTGCAGGATTCGCCCATACACAGCAGGTGTCCTTTTTAGGGCAGTTTGCTTAAACATAGATGGCCCTTTAGCTTGGTATTGCGCAATTACCAGGGAAGCCCATCCTGTTTTTGCAAACGGACACATGGTTTCGTCTGCTCTCTGGAAACCTCTCGGCATGTAAGGGAAACCCTTGGTTTGGGATGTGAATTGAGCAACGGGAAACTGGTATATGGGGATACCACTGCTTGGTGAGGCGCGGTCGGGAAGCCCAAGTGAACCAGCTTGGGCCTTTTTTGGCTTGTTTGTCTGGTCGTTTTTCGTGCTAACAATTCCACTGGTGTTTGCCCTTCCTCAGTTGTTCAGTGGCACCAATCCTTTTTCCTTTTTTTGGTGGCTGCCCTGGGTCACTGAACAGAGCTTCGGTTTCCCATGAGTCAAGCTCCCATTCGGGGCTTGACTTGTTCTTTTTTCTTGGAAAAGTCGCGCTGCTTCTCCAGGGCTCCATAGATACATTTTGCAACCAATGGAAACATGCTTTTTCCACACCAAAATAACAGTTGAAACCACCATGACTCTACTGCTATTGGGTTGGATCTTTCGAAATTTCTGCCTCCCCTGTCAATCGGCTGGTTTTTGCAATTCGTACCTTGTTTTTTGGCTTGTCCTCTTTTTTGGACCTCGAGCAGTTTTTGGAGGCGTGCGGGCTGTCAGGTCCTAACATGACCTACTCGAGCAGAAATGGTGTGCAAAAACGCCCGCAACGGCCCGCAAAACGAGCGCAAAAAAACGCAAAAGAGCGCACATTTCAAAAAGTGCTCGTTTGAACATACAAACCTCGGGCACTTTTTCATTGCTCGGGCAGAAATTTAAGACTCGGGCACAAACTGTGTGATCGAGCAGAAAAAAAAGCGAGCCACAAAAAAGGTATCAATGGAAGGTCCAGGGACCCTTAAAAAATGGGGTCATTACCTAAAATAATGGGGTCGTTGACCCATTTTCAAAGGGTCATGGAGACCCCAGGTATATGCCCTTTTTAACCAGCAGCAAGTTTTTCACTTTTCGCTCCGGGATCCTACGGTAGTCCCAAGCCGAGGAACCTGATCGGCGAGGAGAACAAGGGCTTCGGCGTTATCATGAAGAACTTCAACCACGAGCGCTGGGGCTTTGTAGTGCAGGCGAGTGAGGGTCGGATCGCGAGCTGAGTGGTCCTCTTTAGTCTCCTGAGGCTAAAAAGTCAGGATTTCGGCCGGTTGCTTGGGGTTTAGAATATTTTGGTTCATTAAATATGCATATTACACAAGTATATGGATTATCAGAATCATGTGGTGCATCAACATCTGGTTCACCATATCATGATGATATGGGTGCAGTTGGTGTACCATTAGATGGTTGTGATATAATGTTAGAACATAAACAAGGTAGACCCCTGCAAACGAACAAGAAAAACCACATGAGAGATGGCATTTCCGTTGCCTTTCGGGGCAGGAAAAACCAGAAACAGCCCCATGCCTCCAGAACTGCACTGATTCAAAGCTGCACAGTGAACGTACCGGAAACAATCGCCTCCCAAGTTGAGCTCGTGCCAGCGGTTACGGCGGTTACTGCAATCTCACCAACCTTTAATTCAGTTGGGTGACCCTGATGTTAAAAAGGTGTACCCTCTAACATAGCAACTGTTGGAGGGTACCTGGAAGATCAATTTCCTATTGACTGTCAGGTGCTAAGTTAGTTGGAGGGAGGGTACCCCATTTGGGGCTACAAACAAAAAGAAGTATACCCCTTCTGGGGCTGACCATGTAAACGTTCCGAAGCCACCCAAAAGGATTTTGAGCTCTTCCCTCGTCCCCCATCATTCAGCTCCCTCCAATTGGTTTGGAGCCGAATCGGGGGTTTGGTGGCTAAGGGGTTTCCTATTCTCCACAGGAGGGGGTTCAAATCCCAAACCACCAATTTAAACCACAGACTTCCCCAGAGCATGAACAAACACATATCAAGCAACGTTTCCCCAAAACAACCCACCCACCCAACAGAAACGCCCTGCGACATCTTCCAAGCCACTACCCAAGACACCCTCACAGGCATTCGCAAAAGACCAACTGAGCGGAACCTGAAACATTGAGTCACTGGCTTGAAGGGGAACATGAGCAGGAAACACTGCTTCCAGTGCTTTCTGGGGCGAGCCGCTTGCGAGCTAATTTCAGCAATTTCGAGGATCCCTCTTTTCAGAAAAATCAGGGATACTGCCCAGCCACGAGACTGATAACTTGTTGTTTTGCAGCAACTCAGTGGCCCAGGGACCTGGTTAACCTTGGCCATGACGAAGTATGGGAACCCAAATGGGTAAATTAAAATACTTTTTCAGGCCGATTCGCTTTGAAGAACTGAGAAAATGGTCTTCCCAAAGTCCAGAACATGAAATGGCGAGCTTTATGGAGCCAACATGAACACCCAACATTTGTCGCTCGAACACAAAGCCGTCATAACAAAGAAACCTCTTTTTGGGGTACACGTGACACCTCCAAAACCCTCGCAGTAGTGGAATCTCCTGTGGACGCCCCCTTTTTTGGTGCCATTTGATCGTGCTAAATTGGTCCTCAGGATGCTGGACCTCCTTTTGGTTGATGCTTCAAGCCACCTCCAAATACACCGCATGAATCCGCAGGCCAGCAGATTCAGCCGAGTCCTCATCGAAGACTCCTGGCGCCTCGACTCGGCACGGCGGCGAGTTTTAGTGTGAATAGTTGGGCACACAGAGCAAGCTCACCTTTGACAGAGGCTTTCTGGTATTGAAAATATCCCACTGAGAAAGGATGAACGTAATTCGGTGATGAATAGGTTTCTGAAATTCTCCCACTGAGAAAGCACGAACGCCTTTTTCTCCCAGTTGAATATTTGCTGACCCAAAAAATCACGTAAGTATCACCCGTGCAGGGAAATTATAGATGGCCCCATGATCAAGGTCACCCCATCGAGCGGTACTGGCCCCAGCTTCTGAATGAAGAAAGTCCCAGTAGATATCATCCCCGATTCATAGAAGTGGGCGATGAATGGACATGAATTGACAGCTTCCGTTGAGCCCCCCACCCCCTCAGGACCCTCGCTATCACACCGGGCTTGGAGGTTGGTTGTTGTGGGTTCTTGTTGTGTTCCAAGCTAACTGCTTTGTTTTTTTCCAAAACACAATACGTGTTCTTCAGCCAAAAGGACAATGGTTGGCCGCCCCTCTCTCAGGCGATTCCATAGCTCCCGAACGGAGCCCTGACTTAATTGCTTGGTGAACCAGTTCGCAGTGGCCAATTGGGGGATGCAAGCCAATGGATGCCTGGGATCCATTGCCCATTCAATTGGACCTGGCCTGGCACAGAAAACCCGAACGCTTTGGCTGGCCCGGTATTGACGGATCCCATCACGTGGTTTGCCCGTAAACAAACACACCCACACAGACACAACCCAGGGAACACGGGGCCATTTTGGAAGCACTTCTGCATGGCAAACCCAGGGCAAAAAAATGCAGGCCTTTGTTCCCAGGACCGTAGACTTTTAGGGAACCTAGACCTTTAAACTACCTTTAACAGGGGAACCCACCCCAGAATTGTGGGTTGCAATAACCCATTATGGGTAGTTTGAGGGGATTTGGGAAGACCATGTTCCTGGTAGGCGAAGAGTGTTGTGTTTTGACCAATGCACTCAAGTGAGCAGTAGCCCAAAGCTGCCAGAATCACCGTTTTCGTAAGTGTCTTTCTAGTACCTGGTTTAGGGAGTATCGCAGCTCCATGGGGACTGTCTCAAACAGGCGACCCCGCCAGGCGCTCGGTTTCCTTTAGTTCACCACACCAGGTGGTTCCTAATTTTGAGAACAGGATTCTACCTGGAGTCTCCATGACCCTTTAAAAATGGGTCATGAACCCATTATTTAGGGTAATGACCCCATTTTTAAAGGGTCAGGGAGACTCCAGGTAGCAATTCCTAAGTGAACCTTTCTCAAAATTAAGGACTCCAGGTCTGGCTGGTTGGCTTCCTTTTGGTTTCTCTTCCACCCATAGCAACGGTATCCATTTTGAGCAAACACCCTAGAAAAAACCTTCTCATCTTAGAACCAGTCTCGGGTTTTCCCAGAACAGCCAAGAAAAACCTTCCCATCTTAAAGAAAACCCACTCTCGCGTTCCCCCCCCCCCCCCCCGTTTTTTTGCCCGGGCGCTAACGCACCGAAGCCCTTAAGCCGTTGCTGCTTTCGTGCAAACGCGAAGCCTTGCAGGCAGTTCGCCAACAAGCGCTCCACCTTCGGCAAGAAGCTGGTGGAGCACCCGGTGATCCGCTGGAAGCTGGCGGAGATGACAAGGCAGGTGGAGGGCATCCATCACTGGCTGGAGAACATGACCTACCAGCTCTGCCCCTCGGGCGGGCCCAAAAAACAAAAAAACTGAGACACCCTGGTATGTTTTTCGAGGAAAGCTGTGCCCGGGCCCCAAAAGCCCCAGACGCCTGAGAGACCCTCGCATTTCTTGAGGGAATCACACCTCAAAAGGGCGAGATTTTTGTTGATCAAAGCGAATCAACATTTTGACCTGAAGTTTTCTCTGTTTGATTGATTTTGCAGTCATGGCTCCAGAAGGTGATCACGTTTCATTTCCAGGTCTTGGCAAGGGAGTAGTGCTTCCTGAAATAAGTTCTTTGAAGGTTTTGCTTCACAGCAAAATGACATTGCGCTGCCTAGCCTGTGGCGACAAACAAAAAGAACCTCCAGTGGACCTTTGACCGTGCATCGTTAGCCTTGGCTGAAACAATGAAAAATCAACATCTCGAACACCCGTGGTTTCGTGTGGAAAGTTGACCACGCCCATGGCTGTTTGTTGTTTGTTTTTTTTGGAGCCGGGTACCTTTGAATTTCAAGAATCGTGTCCTACCAGCTCTCCCCCTGGTCATTGCCAAAGCCAAATGAATGAGGCCACCAGGTATGGTGATCTGGTGTTTCTGGGACAGGAATCCGTAAGCATCCTTCATCATGGGAGAGCTCGATTCACCTCTAGGAAACGGTTTGGATTCGCCTTTTGTGGATTTTACCCGCTCTTCCCCCTGTTGGTCCTTTTTTAGTACTCTTTTAGTACTCTTTTAACCTTCTACACAGGTGGAACCACAAAAACCACCTCCAAACCGTGTTCTAGATCACCCGTCGTTATTTCAAGGTGTTCGAAAGTACCGGCGCTGATTTCCTCGCGAAGACTGGGTGCTACACTCACTGCCTGGGTTCCGGGACTGGGACTTTTTGGGTTTGGATCCTTCTTTAGGGGTAAATGAACCGGGCTCCTTAAAGGATACATGTTGCAACCATTTGAGTTACATGTGGGCTTTTTTCAACACCGAAATGAAAGTGGAAAAACCGCCATATACAAGACTTGCAATGTTCAGGTGT